AAAACAAGCTGGGCAACCACCAGGCCTAGGCCGAGGTCCCACACCTCCTTGCCGAGGTGTGGCCCCGACGGCCACATTCAAAAGCGAAGTCAGGAAAATCTGGGTTTCCCTCTTGACAACATGAAGGGCATGAGCATGAAGAGCATGAAGAACATGATCATGAGGAAAATGAATGCAAAGATCAAAACTTGCTATTACGAAAGCTGAGATTCCATGCTATGAATTCAAAAACATGGACCTGGGTACCCATGCTCAAGGATCTTATCAAAACAAACACAAAAACGTGAGCCTTAATGCAAACTTTCTGATCAAACGAGGCTTTTCCTCAAGAACACATGAAAACCATTTTCTCTTTCTAAAACCAACTTTAAATCAATGCATGACATGCAGAACAAGTTCGATCGTGCAATGTGGCTAGATGATCGATAAGAACGACAAGAGTAGGTTAAGATTCTAACCTCAAAACTCGAATCTAACGGTTCAAGCTCCAACGATCAAGCTTGGAAGTTCACTCTCTCTTGCTCAACCTTTTCCTTCTTCTTCCTAGAATTTCTCTCTCTAAAAGGCAAGATTTGGTACAAAATGATATGTGTCTCCCGACAGTCACTAACTTAATCCCTCTGCCAGGCCACGTGGCACCGGCTGGTTGGCTCTACTCAAAAAGGTGACTGACTGATTAGACAAGACCAAGACAAAGTGTATTCAACAAGCTAAACAGCAAGAGTACTCCGACAAGTGATGATCTCGGCTAAGGGTAAAGCTTCGGCAAGTAGGGCGACAATGACATCGGCTTGGAAGGACAACACTTGACTAAGCTGTGCCACACCTTGGCCTAGATGTGCCACACCTCGATCTAGGTCATACCATTCTAGGAACAAAATTACGAGGGTGCAAGGACAAACATCTTGGCCTAGATGATACACATCTCGGCCTTGGTGCTGAACACTTCGGCCTAGATAGAGACATCTCGGCAAATATGCCAAGGTGGAGATGGAGGTCAACCGAAGGAATTCCACGACAGTTCTAAGTGGAAAAGGTTTCGAAGGTGTCTAAGCTTAATATGACCTCGGCAACACACCAGGCAAGAACAACGTATGCAAGCAACAATCGGGCAAAACAAGACAAGATTTGCAAATGCACACACCAAAACCAGATCATTCATAATTGTATGCAAGTATGACTAAGTTGAAATGAGGGTTGTTACAGCAGCACCAACATTGAAAGCAGCATTATTACACTGCAAAACAATTGATAAAAATCGTACTTAGTATTTGATTTATGGTGAACCACTTAAAAGTGAAAAAAGGTAATTCACAATTTGCTTACCCATTCAGGATCCATAGTAACATCATTCTCGGGACGTTGAACACGTGGATCAAACTGAGAGTGATGTGTAGGATTTTAACAACCCGATACAAAACACGAGCATACCACTCACGGTATCCCCGTACACATTCAGATGGCCGCTACTGTACAGGCACACTACGAGCATTAATGGACAACACATGATTCTCCCATTGCGCCTATATCGTGTCATGGTATAGATACATGATTCTGTACTGTCCTAGTTTACTGCCCCGTGTAGCTCGAACATGAGATAATGGTTCTGGGGGGATGGTTTGGACCCTACCAAACTGTCGCAAAACCCTATTAGGGTGATAGGGTTCAACAATATCAAAACATTTCAAACATCCAGTATAATACGCAACCTCATGAAGTGGATGGTGTGTCCTACATAAACGGTATGGACCCACTCGATCTATAAGAAAATTGTTCTATTTCAAGTTTCTAGTTTGTCTTGCTTATTTTTAATTTTTAAATGTTAACATTGTATTGTATCTTAAAGATCACAATCTAATCTTTTTGGGATACCTTGCCTTTGGATGTTACAGCTCATAAGAAAATTGACGTGAACAAATAGGTGTTGGTGAATATTCTGGTGATTTTGAAGAAGCCAAATGATATTCCAATTTTATGACATTGACCTACTTGCAAAATGGATTGATAGTAAAAACATGAAACTGCACTTCTTTATAAGGAAAATACCATATTTTGTCCGTTCTTACTGTTGGACATGTTTTTTGCTGAAATTCTATGGCTGTTGAAAAAGTGAAGATGAAAATTAGTGCCAAAGGAGGCCATAAATCATTTGTGATTATAGGATTAGTAAGTCCAATTAACCTAGCTGACTATTACTACCAGTCATCTCTAATTCTCTTTTGTTATGTTATGTGAAGAAGAACCCCAAAAAATAACCCAAGCTACTGCTAAAAAGTTATTTACTAAAAAGTTTGGGGTAACCCAAATCTATGAAACAAGGGGATATCTATGAGAGATTCTGATTATAATTTTGAACATAAATTAAGAGAAGTATTAAACAAAAATGGTAATCTTGAACTCAGTTTAATGGTATCTCCACTTTTCAAAGAACGAGAAACATAGATGGGGCTCATAGCTGTTGGCCTCTAGGCATCATCGTTAATAAGATATTGTAATTTCTCATACCATAACATGATAATTTGCTTCCTTGCTCTCTCTCTCTCTCTCTCTCTCTCTCTCTCTCTCTCTCTCCATGAAGGAATTTGATTGCACTATGATGCAGAACATGCACGTTCTAAATTTGGCATGAAGATTTTATTTATTTTTTAATATTTATGTTTATTTATTTTTATTATAGTTTAATTAGGACCCTAGCAATATTTGGTTTCTTATTTTTAGGATTTTAGTTTCTTTTTCCATTAGGATTTAGTTTCCTATTTTGCGGAACGTGCTCACACATCTCTTTTGTTCTTTTCCAAGGTGTTGTTGCAAGCTGAGACCTACAATGAAAAGTTTTGTCCTCAAAATGGACATACTATCCATTTACTTTGCTGGAATTTGTTATTGAAATTAAATACGTATAAGAATTAACTAGTGTGATCTATTTATGTGGTCCTTGTTTTGTGCTATAGTTCCTTCTTTCTATTCTTCTCATAAAATATGAACATAAAGTGGAAGAACGAAGAGTAATTTGCTTTTGGATCTGCAAATTTTATGTTCTTGAATGACGTAGTAATTCTCATTGGTTTTGGGTGATACATTGATTTGATGGTTCACAATCATGAGGTTTGTTTCAAGGGATGCCCTCTATGCATTGAGGAATCACTAAATGCTTCAGTTGATCAGCTCAAGGATTGGAATCCAAATCAAGTTAGTCCATGCACTTGGTCCAAAGTTAGTTGTATCAGCAATAAAGTTAGTCCATATAGTATGTTTAGGGAATTACAGTATGGGTTCAATTAATATGCCTAAATCCATCTGTGTTAGCCTTTAGCGATGAACTAATATTATTGAGAGGGTTGAAGATTCCATATCTAAATTCCATAGAATAATATGGCATGTTTTATATTTAATTCATGTGGACTGTTTGAGATAACATTGTTGGACACATCAAGCCACTAATTCTAGTGAAAGTTAAGTCACAACTGAAGTTAAATGAAATAATAATTCAATTGATTTGACTCTTCGAGAATAGCAATCTTGGTGGTTATTGCATCCTCATTTTGTTATTATTAGTATCTCCATTGCTTTCTCATATGTTTTTGTCTGCATTTTGTGTTTTACGCATTTTGGAGGTGGCTCTGTGAGACTCTGTTGAAGGATATGTCAACAGTGCATGAAATTTTTCTAGTACAGTTGCCTCAGTGAAATTGCTTTTGTACTTTTTCTAGTAGAGTTGCCTCAGTTGTCTTTAATTTTTTTCCACAAATATTGATAACCTTTTATGGCAGCTCTTTACCCATAGTACTCTAACCCTTTCCACTTAACTATCACTCTCAAAAAAAAGAAAAAAAAAAAAAGAAAGAGACAGAGGGCAAAACAAAGGACCAAAAATCTGATAAAACATAGAACCAAAATCTAAACTTCAACATTCAAAACTAGCACCAAAAATCACAAACCCAATTAAATTCCAAGATCAAAACCACCAAAGCTATGTTGGGAATGTGCTATTCTTTGTTTATTCGCACCAAAATGATGACATAGATGATATAGATGTACAGATAGATACACATATCTATGTCTATCAATATATAGAGAGAAAGAAGAGTTTTCTCACTTACCTTTGGCAAATGCGAATAGTGAGTTCAATCGTCCACGCCGTCCGAACGCCTCCACGCCGGTGTTGTCTACTCTTCTTCCCTGTGACGTTCTTTTTTCCCTCTAGAAGTATGGGTGTAAAGAGATGGATTTTGAAGAGTTTTGTATAATAGGGTTTGTTTTTGGTACTATATTAGGTGTAATGAGAATTCAATTTTTTTTAAGTGATATAATGAGATGGAGAATATAAGGAGATAAATGATGGTGTAAGTAAAATCACCCTTTTATTTAATGGGCTTCACACAAAAAAAAAAAAACCATAGAAGGGGCTTTCACCAAAAATTCCAAAATCAAACGCATAATATATTAATTAGTACATTAGTCCATCTCCAACAGTAAACCAAACCCAGCATCAAATTCAAATTTTGATGAAAAACCTACTTTTTCAAGCTCCAACCGTTGCACCAGATTGATATCAAAATGAGATTTCAGCAAAAAAAGTATCAAACTGAGAACGAGACACAGATTTTACCAAATTACTGTTACTAACCGTTGAAAGAGGTACACCGGTCAACCAGTAAAAGATTCAAACAGTTCAGGAAAAAAAGTTCAAACCGTTTAAAAAAATAAAAAATAAAAAAAAAATTCCTAACCGGTCAACCGGCCGGTCGACCACCCCGGTCGTTCCGAAAAAGTTCAGAAAGTTCAAAAAAAAGTTCAGACAATTCACAAAAAAAAAAAAAAAAAATTTGCCTAACCGGTCCACCGGCCGGTCCATCGGCCGATTGTCCCGAAATAGATTTGGTAAAAGGTGAACCATTGGAGTGAGTGGTATCAATTTAGTAAAATAGGTCATTTTTGACTCAAATTTGGACCGTTGGAGATGCTCTTAGTACACATATATAACATTATTCTATATTTTTTTTTTCAAAGTTGTTCTGCTAGCAGCAAAGCAACCCAGTTTCCCAAGAAAAGTGAGGAGAGAGATTAGGGTTCGGCGCTGAGTGCGATTTTGAAGAAGATGTCGATGGGGCATGGATGTGTATTATTTGTATGTGCAGATGAATGAACAAGTATGGCGTGTTACTAAATTAGGAGACGAGAGTCAACCTCGGCCTGAGTTTGAACTAGTTTGTGATAATTCCAGTGGTGAATTGCCGATTGGAATGGGATGTATCTCTGTGAATTCCAAATTGCACATGGTTGGGGGTCAAAAAGAGCAGAAAATCACCGAAGATGATGATGATAGTTCTTCTGAGGTTGATTATGTTCCTAATTTAAAATCATTTGTCTTGAATTTGGATGCAATTCGCATCTGCGAGGATTTACCTAGTATGCATGGTCAAAAGTTCAATCCTCTTGTAGTCAGTGTTAATGATAAATTTTATGTTCTGGCAAGACGACCAATTTACAACTATGACAAAGCACTTGAGCAGCCTGTTTTCGAGGTTTTTGATCCAGTGGAAAGAGCTCCCTAGACCGCCCTGGACTGACCCTGCCCAATTTAAATTAGGTGGCGATTATATCTATCATCACTTTGTTTGGGGTCATAAGATAGTGTTTTGCACCCGGGCAGGTTTCTACATTTTTGACACTGACATGAATAAATGGGATTTTACTGATGAGAAGTTGTCTCCTTTCCCTATTATCTCTTGTGCTTCAGCTGAATATGATGGGTTTTTAATTGCCATGCCATGGGACCATCAACAGCTCGTTGTTTACCGGTTGGATTCGGATTCGGATTCGGATGTGGATGCGATTGCCAAGCCTTATCCTTATGGGGTGCTAGATGAGCTTTGGCCTGTGTTCAATCCTCCATTTGCTGGATGCGAATTCCAGGGCTTTCTTACCCATTTGGGTGATGGTGATGGTGACGGTGACGGTGATGGTGATGGTGGCCGTAGAATGTGTTTATTGTATGCCGGTTTTGATTACTATAGTAGGTGGTGTGCACGTGTAGCTAACTTTCAGGTTTCCATCTCATGTAATGATGCTGGTGATTGGTTCCTCTATGCATATCTTGAGACCCTGCAACATTATGATTTTGAGAAATTTGATAATCCTGCTAGATGGATTGATTCTGCTTTTGTCATGTATGTTAGGCAAATATTTTTTTTCAATTCCTTCGACTAGTTTATATGTTTCATTTGCTTTCCTTTTTTATTTTTATTTTTTATGTTGCCTTTGTGTTCAGTACATTCGTGTTATGTATTGATACATACGGAATCAAATGGCATGTAACTGCCCGCTTGTCCCTCAATGTTAATATGACTTTGACTTGGGCAATTTATGCAATATTTGTTTACCTTCTTGCCCTGCCTGTTGTGTTATAGTCTTCATCATCTAGTCTATGAATTTTGAACTTGATGCCCAAAGTAGCATGGGTAGGATGGGCAATGGAAGAAATTATGTGCTACACCACTCTTCGTTATCTGGTTTAGTCCATGCCAAATTGCGTTTACGTGCGCAGCTAGAGAACTTTATCACTTTGTTGATGGTCAGTTGTTTATCTATTTTATTAAGTTGTGATTTAATGATATCATTTCTTAGAAGAACACTCTTTGTTAAGTAGCAGAAGCTCCTTTCTAAGAAGTTTCAACTTTATATGGTTGCAAGATTTTGTTGTGTAGTTAGCAAGCATGTGAAATTTAAGGAAAGTTAAAAAGGAATATAACTTTGATATTTAGGAAAATATCCAAATGAAAGTTAATAGCTACGGTAAGTGCTTTTGGCCATTAGTGTTGGTATTTTTTTTTGCCTGCATAGAAATTTTGATAAACCAAAAGTAGTATATGGAATTCATATTGTTGTAGTTTTACTTGTTAGAGCAAACATTAGACCTCCTTTTCATCTAACTCTTTTGGCTCTCTCTTACCCTCTATCTAGGTGTGATTATTTGAACAAGCATGATGTTGAGGCTGATAAAAGTTTAATGGATGCATGTCTTTCTGGATCAGATAGGTATGTTCTCTCTTGATTGCATTTAGTAATGGTCTATGAAGTATGGACACGGACACGGACAACGGACACAACAATTTTTAAAAAATAGGGACATGGACACGGCAATTTTTTTTTATAAATATTTTTATTTTAATATACGTTAATTATTTTATTTATTATTATATTTTTTTAAATAATGTGTTTCTGATAATTTTTTATTTTATTTTATATACATGTGTTTTTTTATTAATATGTATAAATAGTACATCACATGTTATATATACTTATTAAATAATATTGTCTTATTAATAGTATCTTATACAGTATATACTAATATATATATATATGATAAGAAAGAAGGCAAGAAGGACAAAGTTTGGCGAGAGAGATAGAGACGCGAGCAAGAGAGAGAGAAGGCGAGAGACGTGAGTGTGACAAGAGACGAGAGAGAGAGAGAAAGAGAGAGAGAGAGAGAGAGAGAGATGCTTATGGTGGAAGTCATGAAGTCCAAGGGATACAGATCGTCGACGACTAGATGTCAATGCGGCGATTGGATGTTTGATCGATCAACTGGATGTCTTCGATCGCGCGATAGGTTTGTCTCTTCACTCTCTTCCTTCGCACTCTCTCCTTTGTCTCTCACTCCTCGCCGTGTCTCATGCCGTGTCCAGATCTGGACACGCATGTCCCCCACAAAAAAAAAATTAAATTAAAGGGACATGGCAGATGGTGTGTCCTGTACGTGTCCCTGGTGTGTCCCATGTCCTACGTTGGTCCCCGTGTCCGACGCTACCACGACGCTGATTTTTCCGTGTCCATGCTTCATAGGTAATGGTCATTGTATTTGCTATTACATTCCATTTCGAATATTCAAAATATTGTTATAATCATGCAATGTTTTTGTAACTTGTTATCATTCTTGCTCTTGTTTATAAAATTGAGTTGTATGACAAAATAGACAAGGAACACATTTCGTCCCTAATGTTTGGAAATCCACCATGATGCTTGTGTAGAAATTGTTTCCCTCGAAAATATTTCTTTCTAAATAACAAAATGGCCGACATATAATGATAAGTTACTCTTTAAATCATTGACAAGGGTGTTGTATCGTTGAAGCTTTGTTGTGAAAGTTAGCTGGCATGTGAAAGTTAAGAATAGTTAAAAGGAATATAACTCTATCATATTTAGGGAATTGGCTTGATGAGTTAATAGCTACATTATGTGCTCTATTAGTATCTTTTTTGTCTCTAGAATATTGACCTCTTTTTTCAGGATAAACACAGTGAAAATTATTTAAATCTTGTTTTCCATAAGGTTTTTGAATACTTTATCAATGGAATCTAAAACATGTGAGGCTGCTTAGAAATTTGGGAAAAGTTCACTTTACTCCCTTATGGTTTAGCCCGTGTGCGGATTTCCCCCCTTGTCATTTGGAAATGACCACATAATCCCATGTGGTTTGTAGACTAAAATGCACCGTTAACTTTTCCGTCTAAGTTGACAAGCTGTGAGAGCCACATGCCTCTATAGAGAGAGTCAAATTTTAATATGAAAATATCTTTTCTACATCTTCAAATTTACAAAAAAATGCCATTTTTTCTTTTTATATTTTTTATTGTTTCTCTCTATAACTTTCTTCCCCAACCATTAGTACCTCCTCTCTCCCTTCTTCTTCTTTTCATTTTTTGATTCCCCCTAATCAACCTCCATTGTTGTGTACTACCGCAGCTTCCCCTATGACTGCCACTGGTGACCACCCTTACCCCTCTCTCTCCTCCCCTCAAACCACCACCCACATCCATCGCACCTTTGCAGCCCCTCCCCTAGCACGCCATCCTTGAACCTCCTGCCACATCCCACAGCAACCTAGTTAACCCTTCCGATCAGTCTCACAGCCACCGCCCTCCAAATCAAGTCGGGATTCTTGAATTTTTAATGTCCAACCAACAACATAGATTGACCAACTCACACCATATATTTGATAAGAGTAATTGAGCATATTAAGCACCATCATCACACACAGCAGCATCATCAACGACAGTATTTATGCAATGTTTGCTTAATATTAATTGTTCAAATGTAACACTTCTTTGATCCCAAACTCTCTTTCTCTCTCTATATATATACATAAAAATATATATTTAATAGATAAAGAGAATGTTTCTGGAGGTAGTGTGTTTGGGTAAGTGGAAGCAGTGTGTTGAAGCAGTCTATTTGAACAAATGAAAATTGGTACAAAAATATTTTACTCTTAATTAATGGTGAGAATGGGTGATTGATTTTTTTGATGTGGAGTCGTGTGTGTGCCACTTAGGTTGCTTGCAGAATTTAGAAGGGAATTTGTTATAGTTGGCAGCCATGGATGGAAGAAAGAATATATATGGGTTTAATTGAGAATAGAAGAGAGGAAGAAGATGAGGCTATAAAGTCAATCTCTATGCTCGGTTACCTCTTGTTCTATTTTAGTAACTTTCTGATTTTTTGGCTAAAATGTGAGAAAAAAAAATTAGTATATTTGGGATGACTTTTTGATTTTTTAAGAAAAAAACGTACAAAAAAGTAGAGAGAAAAGAGTATCTTTGACTTTTTTATATAGTTTGTTGGCTTTTTGGCTTTTTAGTGACCTTTTGACTTTTAGGCTAAAATTGTTGTCAGTTGCCAAATGGTTGTGCGTTTTGGCTCACAAATCACATGGGGGTTATGTAGTTATTTCCAAATGACAAGGGGATTCTCCGCACATGGGTCAAACCATAAGGGGTTAAAGTGAAATTTACCCCAGAAATTTTGATGAACCTAAAATAGTTTTTGCTTGAAGATGCATGGAATTAATTTTCTGTAGTTTTACTCGTCAATGCAAACATTCGATCTCCTTTTTATTTTACTTTGTTCGCTTTCTCTTTGCATCCATCTTCAAGAGCACTGAAACTTTTTTTTTTGGATAGGGGTGATTATTTGAACAATCACGATGTTGAGGCTAATGCAAGTTTCATGGATGCATATCTTGCTGGATCAGATGAGTATGTTCTCTATTGATTGCATTTAGTAATGATTAATGTATTTGTTATTATATTTCATTTCGAATTTCAAAATATTGTTTCAAGTATGCAACATTTTCGTAATTTGTTAATATTTCACTGTTGTGGCATTGCTCTTGTTTATGAAATTGAGCAGTGTAATAAAATAGACCCGGAACACGCTTCTTGCTTAATTTTTGGAAATACACACATGATGCTTTTATGTAGAAATTGTTTTCCTCCAAAATTGTCACGCCCCAAATATTCACACAAGTAAATCCCAATATTAACGTCATCCCCAACTTTCCAACATTAGCATTCATAATCACTAAGAGATTTACAAAAGGAGGCCCCACATGCGGGTATACATTCAACAACCTTAATACATGAATCTATAGCATGTGGTATAATGGTTCAGTGCAAATAAATGCCCTCAAGGGCTACAAAGTCTAAGGCTTAAGTCCGGTTACACAAAAGTGGTTGCTTGAACCCACACACATCTGGCCCTTGGCTTACAAAAAATTAGTACAACAAAAACAAGAGCCTTGTGCTCTCAACACATATCCCACACCTTTAATTTGGCGGAATCACCACATCTTTTCCTGCACAAAATCTCATAAGGTGAGCATAAAGCCCAGTAGGAAATCCTTACCAAAGTATATACATTTTATACGATTCTCATGAAGTGAAATGCATATACCATGTCATGTTAAAAAACGCATCTCTATCTTTTGAAAACCTTTATGCACAATGAAACCTTAAAATTTCAACCATTCATTAATTTTCAATAAAGTTTAAGGGGCGGTAAATACAACTCAGGTAATCCTTAGGTCAGTGTCTACAAGTAGGCATTATTGTGACTGTGCAACTCTTTCATAATTTGTTAATATTTTTGTGTTGTGGCATTGCTCTTGTTTATGAAATTGAATGGTATGACAAAATAGACAATGAACACATTTCCTCTTTGATGTCTAGTAAAATACATGCATGATGTTTTTGTGTAGAAATTATTTCCTTCCAAAATTATGCCCTTTTGATGACCAAAATAGCTTCTTTTAGCAACCAATTATAGTGCCTATGATCACCCTAAGAACACTTCTGATAATGATGTACGTCTTCTTCTCTGTTGAACCTTCAATTCCTACGTGCCAATTGTAAGGGAAAAAATTGTACCCCGATGAATGAATCAACAAAAAGATGAACAGTGCACTAAGAATCTTTAAAATACTATGTCGTTAGTGCCCTATCCGGCTTATGTTGGATGGGCACTCTGATGCCTAAGTTAGCACTACCATCTTGAATATAATAGTAATTTTTTGTGACTGTATATTCACTTGCGTATTTGCATACCTGGACCCTTAGGGTTCACCTTTGTTTATAGTAGAAGATTGCTTGCCTAACAAGTATCCAACTCTGATAGGAATATGATTGCTCCGCAAGTCTTTCCCAACACAACTTCTAGTTGTTTGGGACTTCTATAACGATAAGATCTCACCTGTTGATGAGTTTTACTCCATGTACAATACCGAACCCTATTACGGATGACAGATTGAAACCCTTGTTGCCTTGAGCAAGTGTAGCAGCAGCTTTACCTACCTTTTGTAGTTACAAATCCCTGGAGCCATATTTTGTTTTGATCTTAGATTGGATATGTAACCAGATGGTTTTTATTTTTGTATTTGGTGATACTTTGGGACTTGGTTTGTATTTGTTAGAATAGTTCTTTTAGTTATTTTTGTTCTCTTGTTAATATTTACTTAAGTTGAGGGTACGATGGTCATATTGCTACTTTAGGTTTTTCATATATATTTGAGTGATGTAAAGTTGAGGGAATTAATTTGGTTTTCAATATATACAAAAGTTCTCTCTTCTTCTTCTTCCTCCTAACTTTCAACCCTAATTTCTCCATATTACATTCTCACTTGGTATTAGAGTAATCTCTTTTTCATTAGAAAGGGTTCTACAGATTCTAAAGATCGATCTGAGGTGACCGAGACGTGCTGATGTCATCAGCCGTACGATGACGTCAGCATGACGTAAGCAGTGTACGGACGGGTCCTTCACCCCTAGACTTGAAATTGCCTCCTGAGATTTATAGTGATTTTTGTGGAATTTTTTGATCATCCCTGATGTGAGTTTTCAATTTTTGAAACTATTTCGTGTTTTAGGATTGTTTTTTTTAATCTGCCTTTGGGACTATTTTTTCCTGGTTTTCCTTGCTAGGCTCACTTCCCTAGGAGCCGAAAATCACCCCTCTAAGGGTCCTTGATCTTAATTTGTCATTTTACTCCTGTTGGGTTGATATTTTGTTCGATTTTTGGCTGTTTCTGGTCCAGTCACCTTGTGTTCTTCGGTTCTACCTATTGAAGGCTCCTATATAAGGGCTGAAACCCTTCTAGCAAGGGATATTTGTCCTCTCTTTATTGATTGCTACTGTTGAGTTGATGTGTTGGTCTCATTTGGGTCCAAACTTGGTTGTTGAGCTAGTTTTGTGTTTATATTGGTGATTGTGGGTGTGGGTATTGGCTGTTTGCAAGTCTGGTTGATCATTATGGTTAAGATTGAGGCTAAGGCTATAACTATGGGTAAAGATGATGACGTTGATGTGTTGGTCTCATTTGGGTCCAAACTTGGTTGTTGAGCTAGTTCTGTGTTTATATTGGTGATTGTGGGTGTGGGTATTGGCTATTTGCAAGTCTGGTTGATCATTATGGTTGAGATTGAGGCTAAGGCTATAACCATGGGTAAAGATGATAACATGCCTAAATCTATCACTATAAAGAAATTGAATGGTGCTAATTATTTGGCTTGGGCCCATGCTGTCAAGATTTTCTTACGAGGTAAGAAAAAGTCCCGCTATATTAGTGAACTCCCTCCTCCTACTGATGATAAGGATTATGATGATTGGTGTTGTGAGGATTCTTGTGTGATGGGTTGGATTTGGCATAGTCTGGAACCACAGGTTGCTACTATCGTGGAATTTTGTGATACCTCTAAGGTCATTTGGGACTCCCTTGCTGAGTCTTTTTCAAATCAAAGTAATGTCTCTCGGGTCTACGAGTTATATGAACAGATTTTTGCTGTGCGTCAATCTGGCCGGTCTCTCCCTGATTATTATAGTAGTCTCAAGACTTTGTGGGATCAGTTACTGCAGTATCGACCTTTCACTACTGATGTGACCACTCAGAAACAACATTGGGAGGAGTTTATGATGGCTTCTTTACTTTCTGGCTTAGATCCTGAGTTGCGAGGGTTCAAAGATCAGATTCTTGCCAGTGACGCTCTACCTTTAGCTGCCAATGCCTATTCTAGGCTGTTACGCTCTTCATTGGGACAAGCACAATCCACTTCTGGATCCACTTCTGGATCCTCTTCTTTATCATCTTCTGCATTGGTTTCTAGTAGTGGTGATCATGGGTCTACTCACGGGGGTTTTCATAGTTCTTCTGGTTCCCGGAGCTCTTTTTTTGGTTCACGGGGCTCTCGTGGAGGTGGTTCTCGTAGTGGTGGCTCACGTGGTGGTTTCCGTGGTGGAAGTAGTAGTGGACTTGGTTCTCCTATACGTGGCGATCGCAAGTGTACTCATTGTGGTTCCCAAGGTCATACTGAACCTTGGTGTTGGCAAAAGCATGGCAGACCTGATCATGTCCATCAGGTTATGGATGTCCCCTCCTCACAGTCTTCCTTGTTGTCCATTGGCTCGGATGCTTCTCCTGTTACTTCGCATGAGACACTCACTACTCAAATTAGTGAGCTTACTGCCCTTGTCCAGTCTCTCCGGCCTAGTCTACCTTCTTCCTCTACTACCATGGCTAGTTCAGGTAATATTGCATGTGTGGCTAAGTCCTCTCAGCCTTGGCTCCTAGACTCTGGTGCTAGTTCTCATGTCTCTGGTAATTCCTCTCTTTTTGATACTCTTAGACCTGTTGATCATACCACTATACTTGCTGATGGATCTTCTCGGCCTGTCTGTGGTCAAGGTCCTCTTCATCCCACTCCATCCATGTCCTTACCTTCTGGTCTTTATGTTCCTAAATTTCCATTTAATTTGCTTTCTGTTAGCCAATTGACTCAAGCTCACCATTGTTCGATAACCTTTTCTCCTACTTCATGTGTTTTGCAGGACCTCCAGACCAAGAGGATGATTAGTTCGGGGCATGAGAAGGATGGCTTATACTTTTTGGACGCTGAGACGTCTCCTCCTCCATCTGCTGTGTTGAGTGCTAGTGTATCTCCTCTTCAGTGGCATTTTCGCTTGGGTCATCCCTCCTTGGCCAACCTCAAGTTAGCTGTTTCGGGTTTGAGTCATGTTTCTCAGATTGAGTGTGAAGCCTGTCAATTTGGGAAGCATCATCGTAGTTCTTTTCCTCGTCGTAGTGTTAGTCGTGTGTCTGAGTCTTTTGCTCTTGTCCATACAGATATTTGGGGTCCTTCTAGAACTCCTACTGTTAATGGGTTCTTTTATTTTGTTATTTTTATGGATGATTACTCTCGGATGACTTGGTTGTTTTAATAAAACAAAGATCTGATTTGCCTTCCATCATCTCTAAGTTTTATAATGAAATCTTTACTGAATTTGGCAAACGTATTAAGATATTTCGATCTGATAATGCCTTAGAATAAGATATGTGCAATCTATTATAACTACCTTTTGTGATGCTCATGGTATTAACTGATGAGGAGTTCTGCCATATGAAAGCCACGTTTTTATTTTTATTTTTTTATAAAGAACGTAATCTCAGTCTGTAGCAGAAGTAAATGTATAAAGAGCAAATAAAACCTATAAAATGAACATAATAAGCACATCGGGAGGTAATTGAATCTCCATATAGACTTCAAGAAAGTGTGGATGTCTAGGAAACAAAGAGCAAATAACATAAGCAATATGTACAACAAAAAGAGTCTACGTGTAACACCACAACAATGCAGAATGAACAAATTAATGGATATAACCTGCACATTTCATTCTAAACATAAAAAAAATAAAAAATAAATAAAAAAAAAAAAAGAAAAAGAAGAAGAAGAAAATAGAAGAAGAAGAAGAAGAAGCAAAGGAAGATAAGATACGCTGCAGCAAGTTAAATGCTTCACAAATGTGAGAAATGAGAATAAGGGGAAAAAAAAGTAGCAGGAAGCAGTATGCAACAAAAGCCACATATCATCCTAGTAAAATAATATCACAATAAATGGTATGCAAATAGAACTGCACAACATGACTAATGCTGCAGAGCAACTGGACAGATGGGCACACTATACATACAGTGGCCGACCCAGAAATCTTCTTAAGAGGGGGACCAAATTTTATACAATTAAAATTTGTCTACAAAATTTATTTTAATATATTTTTACTAAATTTTTGTACATATGTTATACTAAAATATTCACTTAAACATAAAAATTGAACATTATCATTAAATTCCAAATAAAATTTTCAGTTAAGGTTGAATAGACATATACAAAACAAAAAGTATCAAAACAGTAATATAAAGTACTTTTTGCACATTGTACAAAATAAAAAAAAAGATCAATAAAGAATAACATATAAGTATTTTTTTCACGTTGATCATAGCCACGTTGGATCATATCCAACATTAATTTGAGCTATAACTGGAGAGACACTTTGATTGTAACTAAAATCAACACCAGTTTGAGACACAATCAAATATCATAATGGATTTAACAGTTTCGATTTAACAGTGACTTACTAGTATTACCTTTCACTCTTACCAAACCCAAAGCGTGCACCAAAATAGAAGGCAACAAAAAGCAACCATGAATCACTGTAAACAGCAACAAGTGATAACCAGTCCTTCTCTTGCATTCGATCCCTTGCAAAGTTTATACCCAATGCCGGCTCAGGAAGCTCAGGAGGCACCTCCTCAACAAGCAGGTTGACTTCCCATGTCTTATTCGGAAGTCCATATAAAACACAAATTCTCCTTATCTGCAAGAACAACATGACTCTGAATAAAAATTTATTCTCCATATAATTGGAATCACACTCTTCCCACCAACATATTCTCTTTAAAGATAAACAATAATGTAAATATAGTAACCATGTAATACATAACCAGCAATTATGGACTATTATATGGAAAGTGATTGTTAAGAAATCTTTTGTTCCTTATCAAGAAAATAAGAAACATTGACCAATCGGCTGCTTTAAGTTGCTCTCAAAGTAATGAAACATTCTCCAGAAATAAGGAAATCATTTTTAAAATTTTAAAACACAAGCAATGTGTAAATTGAGACAGTAAAGTTCAGGTGACTTTTCATTCTTCCAACATGATTTTGAGGTATGTTCAACAGTGAGCACAACCAAAAAAGAAAATGAAATTTAATATACAGAGCTTAAGCACCCGAAGTAAATGACAGTCATAGACTCAAAGTTATGGTGTTAATCCTATAAATATGTAACAACTCAATCGATAAGAAGTTTAAGGATAACACAAATGGTATAGCACAAGGTACTAACAACCATATGGCAGTATAGGATCAGAATCCAAACCTATCCCATTAGTTTCAACAACTCAGAGCATTAAAGTAGTACTGCTTCAGGGAATAGATTTTATGAAATTCTGTGGCGAAAGCATTAGAAGCAAAATACACAATAAAAACAAATGACTAGGTGAAATAACAATGAGTTTGTACTTGCGAAATTTCTATTCTGGGATTAATTGGTAGTGCTTGAAACACTATTTGTTCACAGATTTGTTAATAATGGTAAAGACAGTCATTTATCAATGAAATTATGAATATGCTCCAGTTGTGTAGGTGGCCTGACCTTCTACAGTCTAGGCCTCAGGAATTGTACATTTTGTCACTCACACTCATGCTGGCTCTCTACTCCACTTGTACTCATCACAAGCATCAAGACACAATATTTGACTAGATTATACTAGCCAAAGAATCATAAACTTCCAATCATTAGCCCGGGAACTGAAAACGTTAGAAATTATAATGCATTTATTAAGGATGCAGAGTACAAAAAAGTGTGCTATTTGTCATACTAGTAATATACTTCAAACTTTCCCATACTAAAAACAATCAAAACCTCATGGGTCATATGCATAATCCTTCCAGTAATGCCATTCACCACACTGTACACAATTACAGCTAGCAAAAGCCAGTGCAAGAAGCCATGCATGTGATTTAATTTTGTAGTTACAAATGTCCATGAAGTTAGTTTTTACAATTCCTAAAGTTCTGCTTTTTGGTAAGAATATTCACAGATTGTCATTGAGCTTACAACATTGTGGACCAAATTTAAAGCAAAGTCATGTACTTTAAGAATAACTAATGCACACTACAATAACAGTAAGCATGCCTTTTTTGCGGGGAAACCAACTGAAAATGTAAACGACAGTAACAAATGTCACATTAGAAAACAGATCAAACATTCAAATAGAAAAACCACTCACTCCACTCAATAATTATAAGATAACACCATCCTAAATAAAGACAAATGCTGGTGTTTGAAATTAGCATCCAACAATATGTCAAATTAGGGTTAGTTTAACTTTTATCCACTAAATTATCGCCATTTTTTCTCTTTCACCTTAAACTATTAATTTCATCTATTTAGTCCCTAAAATTTCTAATGCCAGCTAATGTAGTCCAATTGTAGACAGTTGGACAAATCAGTAACCTTTACAGCCTAATTTGATCAGCAAAAAGATTATTTTAAAATTTGTACAACTTAAACCATACAACCACACTCATTCTTTGTTATTCACTAATTTGAAATGACAGTTGGAGAATAATATGGTGTGTAAAAAATAAATTGATAGAGAGAGAATAAATTGTATGTATTATTGATTAATATTGTTATATATTACAAATGGTAAGGGGCTCCTTATATAGGAGATGTAGTGGAGTAGGTGGTAGTGGTAGGTGTGTAGTAGGTGGTAGTAGGTGGTGGCAGGTGTAGTAGGTGGAGTAGGTGATGGTAGGTTTTAACAGCCCCCCGCAAACGCAAGGGCGATAGGAACTAACCAACTTGAGTTTGGAGAGAGTAATAAAACAGGAAAATAATATATAAATAAAATAAAATAGGATAGGAGACACTGTATGGTCGTGTCAGATCGTTGGTGAAGACACTGTATGGTCGTGTCGGACCGTTGGTGAAAACACTGTGTGATCGTGTCGGACCGTTGTAGGAACTAACCGGAATTAATGTCGGAACAGTTTACGGGGTCATGCCGGACCGATGTAGCAGACACTGTGTGGTCGTGTCAGACCGTTGTAGGAGCTAACTGGAATCAATGTCGGGACAGTTTACGAGGTCATGCTGGACCGATATAGCAGACACTGTATGGTCATGTTAGACTGTTGTAGGAGCTAACCGGAATCAATGTTGGCATGAAGGAGCTAACCGGAATCAATGTCGGGACAGTTTACAGAGTCGGGACAGTTTACAGAGTCTTGTCGGACCCTTAAAAGGTCGCACCCTCAAAAGGTGTGCCCAATCTTTCAAAAGGCGTGCCATCAAAAGGCGTGCCCAATCTATAAAAAGGTGTGCCATCAAAAGGCGTGCCATCAAAAGGCGCGCCCACTTCATCAAAAGACGTGCCCGACAGAAAGCGTCGAGCCATCAAAAGGGGCGCCTGACACGCGGCGATGCACGTGATTGACAGAGCGCGTGTCGGCCTCGTCGTCTCTGTCTTTATAAACCAAAGTGAAGTCTGAGGCTTGGAAGCATAACAAACCAGTTGAAGCCTCTTCGTTCTCTGTAACATTCTGTAACCAACCCTTCTCTGAAACACTCAGCAACCCAAAAACATGGCTTCTTCTTCCCGTTCAGCTACCCAGAACATAGCCTCTTCTTCCCGTGGTCTGCTCACTCTCTTTCCCGACCTCAACGAGTCAACAAGAGAGATAACTGGTGTGGTGGCCTGTGATCCTCAACCAAACACCTCTGGTTTTGCTCCGTTGAACTTTCCGATGCGGTCGGTGGAGCAAAAAATGGCAGTGCAAACGGATATTGAAGCTAATCAGTATACATTGAAGTCCTGTGTTGAAACTATGACTGCGGTCACAAACTTGTTGCACCGGCTGCAGAGTAGAGAAGAAAAATCCCACCTGTGGATGTGGTTGTTTGTTTGTATTTTTTTTTTTAATTTTTGTTGTGTTTTTTTGTTTGTTTGTTTGAACATGGTGATCGGGGTGAGCCCCGACATGAATAAAATGAGTTTGGTGTGCAGTTCTTCTTCTGTATCTTTTGTTTGTTTGTTTGTTGTACTTAGAAAATATGAGGAAGAAGGAATATATTTCTGTTATATTCAACACTTCTTATCTTACAAGACCAAATGACACTCCTTATATAGGAGATATTACAAACATCATTATAACCCATTATATGCCACTTACATATTATATATTACCACTATCTACCACTATCATATTATATACATGCCACTATCTACCACCAACACCACTATCATATTCTATACATGCCACTATCCTTCACCAACACCACTATCATATTATATACATGCCATTATCTACTACCAACACCACTATCATATTCTATACATGCCACTATCCTTCACCAACACCACTATCATATTATATACATTAACACAAATTTCTAGCTTTTAAATCTACAGTTTGGTTGGGATCTGTACATGCCACTATCTACCACCAACACCACTATCATATTATATACATTAACTCAAATTTCCAGCAAAATCTTTACTCAATTTGGCAAACGTATTAAGATATTTCGGTCTGATAATGCCTTAGAATATGTGCAATCTATTGTAACTACCTTTTGTGATGCTCATGGTATTATTCATCAAACTAGTTGTCCTCATATATCCCCACAAAATGGTGTTGCAGAACAGAAACACCGCCATTTGCTAGATGTTGTGCATGTCCCCAAACAGTTTTGGGGCGATGCTGTTCTCACTGCTTGTTTGCTTATCAATCGCATGCCCTCTAGTGTTGTACACACATCTCCTTATTCTCTGTTATATCCCACCATATCTCATTTTCCCTTGCCTCCTCGCATTCTTGCGTGTGTGGCCTTTGTCCATGTTCTTGACCCTGGGTTGGATAAGTTATCTCCTCGTGTAAGCAAGTGTGTGTTCTTAGGTTATTCTCGCACTCAAAAAGGGTACCGGTGTTATCATCTTGAGTCTCGTCGCTACTTTGTCAGTGCTGATGTAACGTTTTTTGAGTCTACTCCGTTTTTTTCTTCCTCTGGGCAACAGTTATCTACTGATCTTCTCTCTTCTCGAGAGGGGGAGCCAGCCGCTCTCACTTCTACTCTTCCCTCTTATGCTCCTTCCACATCCACTCCTCTATCCTCTCCCTCTCCTCTCACTTCTACCCCTCCTTTGCAGGTTTATCAACGGTCTCAAGCTCGTCGCATTGTGTCTTATGGCCCGACCAGTTCATCTCCTTCGTCTGAGGCTCCTGTTCCACCTGCTGCTCTACCATCTGATGACCTTCCTATTGCCCTCCGCAAAGGTAAACGCACTTGCACTCAACATCCTATTGCTCATTTCGTTTCTTATGATCGCCTCTCTCCTAGTCTTCACTCTTTTGCTTGTAGCTTGTCTAGTATTTCCATTCCTCGCACCTATCTTGAGGCTATATCCATCTCTAGTTGGAAGTTTGCCATGGATGAGGAAATGCATGCTCTTCATCAAAATCAGACCTGGGACCTTACCCCTCTGCCATCTGGCAAATTTATTGTGGGTTGTCGTTAGATTTATACTGTTAAGTATCTTCCTGATGGAACTGTTAAGCGACTTAAGGCTCGCCTGGTAGCTAAAGGCTACACCCAAACCTATGGTGTTGATTACTTGGAGACCTTTTCTCCTGTGGCCCGTCTTAACTCTGTTCGGATTCTTCTCTCTGTTGCAGTTAATCAGTCTTGGCCTTTATATCAACTGGATATCAAGAATGCTTTTCTTTTCTCCATGGTGATCTCCACGAGGACGTCTATATGGATCAACCCCCTGGCTATGTTGTTCCCGGCCAAGAGCATCTTGTTTGTCGCTTGAGGAAGGCCTTGTATGGTCTTAAGCAGTCCCCTCGTGCCTAGTTTGATCGCTTCAGTGCTGTTGTGCTTGCCTATGGCTTTCACCGTTCCACTTTTGATCACTCTATTTTTGTTCGCCACTCGTCTACTGGGAGTATTGTTCTTATTGTCTATGTGGATGACATCATCATTTCAGGGAGTGACTCCAATGGTATTGTTGATTTGAAACAGTATTTGGGACAACAATTTCACACCAAAGACTTGAGCCATCTTTGGTATTTTCTTGGGATTGAAGTTGCCCGTTCTTCTCAGGGCTTGTTTCTTTCTCAACGGAAGTATGTTCTTGATCTTCTTACTGAGACTGGTCTCTTAGGCACTCGCCCCAGTGATACTCCCATGGATTCTAGTGTCAAGCTTGCTGGTGACACAGGCGACTTCTTTCCTGATATTGGTTGTTATCGTCGGTTGGTTGGCAAGTTAATATATCTCACTGTTACTCGTCCAGATATTACCTATGCTGTGGGTGTGGTCAGTCAGTTCATGCATACTCCCCGTCAACGCCATTTTGTGGCTGTATGTCGTATCTTGCAATACTTAAAGCGTGCTCCAGGTCGGGGGTTGCTCTATCGCCCATCTTCTTCCTTGTCTGTCACTGGCTTCAGTGATGCTGATTGGGCTGGTAATACGACTGACCACCGTTCCACCTCAGGCTATTGTACTTTTGTTGGTGGTAATCTTGTCACTTGGCGTAGCAAGAAACAGACCGTCGTTGCTGAAGCTTGAGTAACCAGCTTAGAGGTATGATAGAATATCACCCCCTATTTATAAATGAAGATTAGGGTTTACAAGAAGGTCAATTACAAGATAATCCCTGAGGGCACAAAATGATTACAGACAGACCTTAGTGAAACTTTCGGCTAATATAATATGCTAACACTCCCCCTCAAGCTGGTGCGAAGATATCTCTCATGCCCAGCTTGCCTAATATGTCATGAAATGGTTTATTCCCAATCCCCTTGGTGAGAATGTCAGCAAGTTGTTCACCAGACTGGACAAAAGGAGTACAAATGGTACCACTAGTGAGTTTCTCCTTAATGAAGTGGCGATCAATCTCAACATGTTTTGTCCTGTCATGTTGAACTGGATTGTGAGCGATGTTGATGGCGGCCTTATTATCACAGTATAACCGCATGGAGTCCGTCTGATCAATACCTAGATCACGCAACAATAATTTGATCCATAAAAGTTCACACACACCTGCGTGTCAATTATCATTTTAACATCCAGGATTTTACTGCATGGATGATGAGGTATGCTTTAAATAATTAAACAAAATCTGGTGGGGCTTTAATTCATCCAGTGGGTTATCTTTCAATCCATGTAGTTAACACCCCAGGATTACAAATGAGGTGAGCCTCAAAATGAATAGCTGTACTACATAAAATTGATGGAAAACATGGTTATATAAAATATTTTGCATTATTCACTAATATGCCACTAGCACCCCCTAGAAAGATTTCTAAGCAAAATGATGTTAATAATAATTTTTATAATTGTAATTTATTTCTTCAGGAGTATACTACATACAAGTTTGGAAAATTGATTAGTTTGATTGTATGAATAATGGATAACCAAAGTTTTAGGAGGGGAAGTAAATGATGATAACTTCATGGGTGAAAAAGTTCATGAAGAGTTTTATGAAATTGGTGGCTGATCCGCATTGTCTATCCATGTAGATAGCATGGATTGAAAGGGAGCCCCACTCATTTGGATCTCTTGGTTTTATTCTATTGCCAAAGGTGAATTAAATAGATGGAGGGTCTTGCACTTTGAAATTAGAATGACTTGGTGGAACCATCACCATGATCCATCCAATGTACAATTCAATCTAGGTGGTCCATGTGGTAGGATGATGTCATGTGGGCCAAAAAATAATTTTTAGTAGTATATAATATATATCAAGAAAACAATTTCATGATGTATTGCATTGTTAAATAATTATATATATCATAGTGTATAGTTTGGCACTTTTTGATGATGTTATATGTATAAGTTGTTGTGTTACATGAACTCTATTTTTTTTTTTTTTTTTTAAATCAAAGTACTGTGTCCATTGAATATGTCAAGGGTAAGGGTGGTAGATATGTGTTTGATATTTGTACCCAATTTAGATACTTGGATCCTCAATTTTTTTTTATGATAATTGAAAAAGATATTCACATTTGCTAATAAAGAAACATTTCTAGCCTTTCACATAAATGAGAGATAAGAAATTTTATATTTTTCATAAACCCTATTTAATTTGGGATTTTTGGCCAAAACCCCCTATTAGTGAAAAGGACAAGCAAAAAAAATATTGTTGGCAAAACCCCCTTACGATTAAAAAATTAAGGTGAAAGACTAAAATACCCCTCATATATATAGCATATAAGAGGCAGTTGAAGAGGACAAACCGACAATTCGAATAGTTGTCCCTGTTGATACACTATGTTCCAAAACCCTCAACTGAAAACCCTAGTTCAAACCAGAGATTGAAGCTCCATTGTCATCTATTTGAGATATATTGAAGGAGTTCATCACTCTACCATCGAAAAAACGAGTCATACGAGGTAAATCGTGCTTTTCATAGTAAGATTAGCGTATTAAACTTTAAATCTGTTCAGTTTTGACTTTTTTTCACTCTTCTACATTTTGTTGATGTTCGAAAGTACCATTGTGTTTGAAACTTTTGTAGAGAGAGCACTTCAATCTATTTTTTTGTTGAATATCTTACTGTTTTGTTGGAAGTAAATGTCGTTTTATAACAATATTTGTAGAGAGTACTGAAGCTTTAAGTAACCAGCTTAGGGTATGATGAGATATCACCCCTTATTTATAAATGAAGATTAGGGTTTACAAGGCATAAAAATGATTACAGACCCTAGTGACTTTCGGCTAATATAATATGCTAAGTGACTTTCGGCGAATATAATATGCCAACACTCCCCCTCAAGCTGGTGCGAAGATATCTCTCATGCCCAGCTTGTTGTTGTGACAGTTGTTGTGACAGTTGTTGTGACAGTTGTTGTGACAGTTGTTGTGACAGTTGTTGTGACAGTTGTTGTGACAGTTGTTGTGACAGTTGTTGTGACAGTTGTTGTGACAGTTGTTGTGACAGTTGTTGTGACAGTTGTTGTGACAGTTGTTGTGACAGTTGTTGTGACAGTTGTTGTGACAGTTGTTGTGACAGTTGTTGTGACAGTTGTTGTGACAGTTGTTGTGACAGTTGTTGTGACAGTTGTTGTGACAGTTGTTGTGACAGTTGTTGTAATTAATGTCGGGACAGTTTACAGAGTCTTGCTGGACCCTTGTAGAAACTAACCGGAATCTATGTCGGGACAGTTTACAGAGTCTTGTCGGACCCTTAAAAAGTCGCACCCTCAAAAGGTGTGCCCAATCTTTCAAAAAGGCGTGCCATCAAAAGGCGTGCCCAATCCATAAAAAGGCGTGCCATCAAAAGGCGTGCCCAATCCATAAAAAGGCGTGCCATCAAAAGGCGTGCCCAATCCATAAAAAGGCGTGCCATCAAAAGGCGTGCCCAATCCATAAAAAGGCGTGCCATCAAAAGGCGTGCCCAATCCATAAAAAGGCGTGCCATCAAAAGGCGTGCCCAATCCATAAAAAGACGTGCCATCAAAAGGTGCGCCAGACACGCGGCGATGCACGTGATCGACAGTGCGCGTGTCGGCCTCTTCGTCATGTGCTATATAAATGAAGGCGGAGGCTGAGAGAACATGTGGAAATCAAACCAGTCTGAAACCTCTGAAAAACTCTTCGTGGGCTGAGAGAGATACACTGGTAACACTCTGTAAACACTCTGTAACCAAC